TCATTACTGTGTTTCTTTATAAATCCACTAGTGTTAGTCAATACAAGTACTGACTGTGCCAAAATGAAAACACTTGATATAAGATTTTAATTGGTATCAATTTGATTTAAAGTTAAATTTAACTGCATACCTGGTCGAACTTTAATTTTCCTTCGTTTTAGAACTTTCTCCAGTATATCTCTCATAGAAATGTTGAGACTGTCAATTTGAAACTTGTTAAAACCTCTATGAGGAACATTTCTGTAGTAAATAGTGAATATGTTAGTATTTTAAATAAAAGCTAAAAAAAATACATGGCATTTTAAATTTAAATTTTGAGCTAGTTAAGATAAAATGCGAAAGGATAACACCCTTCAGAATACATTTATGGATACAAGCAAAACTACTGAGACACTGAAATATAAATGCTAATAACTATCCAATCCTAATTTGAGTATGGGACAAGAAAACCAATAGCTGCTAATGAGCATTTAAGTCAAGGAAGGCTTTTATCTGCTAGAATATAGAAAATTACACCAGATACCCATACATACAAGTTGTTCATGGTGCAATGAATGTACACGTGTTACATGTTTACATGTATGCACATGTGATTAACCCACCAAACAGCATATCATGATGGCAAATTGTTGCGGTTTTTTTTCGAAATAATGAAGTCAAAGGTGCAACATTACTGGGGTTATGACAATGTTTCCATGTGATATTATAAAATGTGTCATTAGAAATCATGTGACTTAAGAAAACATGTGTCATTAGAAAACATGTGCCATTAGAAAACATGTGTCATTAGAAAACATGTGACTTAAGAAAACATGTGCCATTAAAAACATGTGTCATTAGAAAACATGTGTCATCAGAAAACATGTGTCATTAGAAAGCATGTGTCATTAGAAAACATGTGTCATTAGAAAGCATGTGTCATTAGAAAACATGTGTCATTAGAAAACATGTTGTGTCATTAGAAAACATGTGTCATTAGAAAACATGTGACTTTAGAAAACATGTGCCGTTAGAAAACATGTGTCATCAGAAAACATGTGTCATTAAATAACAGACCTAGAGGGAAACAAAATAAGTTTTTATCTGAGAATTATACACATTCAGGTAAGTATGTAAGCATAACATACACAGTGACTATGATAGCGGGTTTGTTGGAACTTGTAGGAACATCTTTCTGTACTAATGCAAGCTTTGTGAAGCCAAACTTTGACACTGGTTCTTTACTATCTAAACTTGGAAAATCTGTGTCAACCTCACCATCATCTTCAGCAATGTGTAAACAATATACATCTATGTTCTCCCTAAAATATGATAAAAAATTCACAAAATATATTCAAACAAAATACATGTAATACTATGTTCAAAATTAACTTAAATGCTCTGAAACACCTGCTAAATATTGAATTGAATATTTTTCTGAAATGTGTTTAAATTTATAGATAGTGTCTTTCTAAATATTTAAAGATATATTATGCTCAAATCTGATATTAGACAAGAGCTGTCAGTAGGACAGCACGCTCGACTATTCTAAGTGCTTGATAGTAAAAGAGCCTTGATAATGTTAAATTTTTTAAGTTCACCAAAGGGCTAATTTTTTTTATAAATTCATGTTAAAGGCCTTAGAGAGAGTCTAATTATACAGTATTGGCTTGACTATTTGGAAGGTAATGTCATTAGGGTGTTTTATTGAGTATAATAATACTTATTACTTATGAATACATAAATTTGCAGAAAAGGTACAAAGGCTTGTTATTAAGATGTTTTATCAAGTAAATCACTGCTTTATTATTATGAATGCATAAAATTGTCCCAAAAAAGGCACAAACCCTTCAGTAGCTAGTTATGGAGATAACAGCTTACAAGCAAAACTTTATCATGAATTTCTAAGTTGAAAAGGGGAAGAAAAATCAGCCTAAATGCAAGATAGAATAATGGATCTTTGTCAGTGACCTACAATTCTGACCCTAAATGCATATGTGAAGTTTTAAATAAATATCTTTAATAGTTATTGAGATATGTAAAACTTGCATGTAAACATTAACCAAGAGACTAAGTAGAAAAGGGGATATGAATCAGCCTTAATGCAAGATAGAGTTATGGAACTTGGTCAGTGACATACAATTATGACCCTCAAATTATGACCCTAAGTACATGTGTAAAGTTTCAAGTAAATATCTTTGAAGACCTTTAACCTTTAACCAAAATTTCTAAGTTTCAAAGGGGCAAATAATTCTGCAAATATTGCAGACAGAGTTATGCAATTTTGCAAAATGATGTACATTGTTACTATAAAAAAGTGTTGTAAATATCAATTGAATATCTCGAGCAATAATTGAGATATTTGACTTTACAAAAAATATTTAACCAAAATTTCTAAGTTTCAAAGGGGCATAATTCTGTCAATATTGTAGACAGAGTTATCCAACTTGTCAATCTGATGTACCTTGTTACTATAAATAAGTATTGTAAGTTTCAATTGAATATCTCAAACAATAATTGAGATATTTGACTTTACAAAAAACTTTAACCAAAATTTCTAAGTTAAAAAGGGGCATAATTCTGTCAATATTGTAGGTAGAGTTATCCAACTTGTCAATCTGATGTACCTTGTTACTATAAATAAGTATTGTAAGTTTCAATTGAATATCTCAAGCAAAAATTGAGATATTTGACTTTACAAAAAACTTTAACCAACGCCGACGCGGATGCTGACGCCGACACCGACGCCGGGGCGACTACAATAGCTCTCATATTCTTCGAATAGTCGAGCTAAAAATATTGATTACTTTATAAAATAAACATGTTTTGACTTCACACAAAGTAGATATGTTATGTTTAAAATTCTACACACTATAGGTGGTCACAATATGAATATATATTTTAATTAAACAAGAGCTGTCTGTAGGACAGCACGCTCGACTATTCTAAGTGCTTGATAGTAAAAGAGCCTTTATATTGTTTAATTTTTTAAGTTCAAAAAAGGGCTAATTTTTTTTTATAAATTCATGTTATAGGCCTAAGAGAGAGTCTAATTATACAGTATTGGCTTGACTATTTGGAAGGTTATGATGTCACAAGGGTGTTTTATTGAGTATAATAATACTAATTACCTATGAATAAATAAATTTGACAGAAAAGGTACAAAGGCTTGTTATTAAGATGTTTTATCAAGTAAATCACTGCTTTATTATTATGAATGCTTAAAATTGTCCCGAAAAAGGCACAAACCCTTCAGTAGTTATTGAGATAACAACTTACAAGAAAAACTTAACCATGAATTTCTAAGTTGAAAAAGGGGAGAAAAATCAGCCTAAATGCAAGATAGAATTATGGATCTTTGTCAGTGACCTACAATTACGACTCTAAATGCATATGTGAAGTTTTTAATGAATATCTTTAATAGTTATTGAGATATGTAAAACTTGCATGTAAACATTAACCAAGAGACTAAGTAGAAAAGGGGATATGAATCAGCCTTAATGCAAGATAGAGTTATGGAACTTGGTCAGTGACATACAATTATGACCCTCCAATTATGACCCTAAGTGCATGTGTAAAGTTTCAAGTAAATATCTTTGAAGACCTTTAATCTTTAACCAAAATTTCTAAGTTTCAAAGGGGCGAATAATTCTGCAAATATTGCAGGCAGAGTTATGCAATTTTGCAAACTGATGAACATTGTTACTATAAAAAAGTATTTTAAATTTCAATTGAATATCTCAAGCAATAATTGAGATATTTGACTTTACAAAAAAACTTTAACCAAAATTTCTAAGTTCCAAAGGGGCATACTTCTGTTAATATTGTAGGCAGAGTTATCCAACTTGTAAATCTGATGCACCTTGTTACTATAAATAAGTATTGTAAGTTTCAATTGAATATCTGAAGCAATAATTGAGATATTTGACTTTACAAAAAACTTTAACCAAAATTTCTAAGTTAAAAAGGGGCATAATTCTGTCAATATTGTAGGCAGAGTTATCCAACTTGTCAATCTGATGTACCTTGTTACTATAAATAAGTATTGTAAGTTTCAATTGAATATCTCAAGCATTGATTGAGATATTTGACTTTACAAAAAACTTTAACCAAAATTTCTAAGTTAAAAAGGGGCATAATTCAGTCAATATTGTAGGCAGAGTTATCCAACTTGTCAATCGGATGGGCCTTGTTACTATAAATAAGTATTGTAAGTTTCAATTGAATATCTCAAGTAATAATTGAGATATTTGACTTTACAAAAAACTTTAACCAACGCCGACGCGGACGCCGACGCCGGGGCGACTACAATAGCTCTCATATTCTTCGAATAGTCGAGCTAAAAACTAGCAGTCTTTTAGAAAAGACCAACTTTTCTTGACATGTATAAAGGAATGCAGCTTCCAATACATATTCTATTCATTCTTATATTCAAATTAGACATATTCGGTAAGAATTACATAGATTTCAATAAATTTCTGAATTTTTCTAAATTGCTGAAGTTTTGGATCATACTGTTGTTTACTCTGCAAATGATTATAGCTAGTATAAGAGGTCAGGTCACTCTTGACATCCAAATTTTCAATATTTATACATTAAAATATTACCTTTTACAAAAGTTGAAATGAAATTAATTACTTAATTACATAGATATCAATAAATTTCTGTAAATAAAATATTTTATGCAAGGATGAGCATAGTATATCTTTAACATTTACTTAAGTGTTTTTTGATGTATTTTACAAAATGTTTAGTCAGAAAGTGGCTTGGATTTCAATATCTATACTGGTCAGGGACCATCAACCGGACTACTTTTGAACATTTTTCCATACAGCTTTCATAATTTTTAAGCTAGAGATCTGAAAATTTGACACAATACAGCTGGGTTCTTCTCCTAACAAAAAAAACTATTTGTTTTTTTTCTGATTATTTTTGACCCTTAATCGGCCTCAATAGGATTAAAAATACTAAATTGTCCTAATACGTACTAGTTCCGGACAATAGCTTGTTTAATTCAATAAAACTTTGGTGTTTAAATTTTTTTTTTTTAAATCAATAATTTTCAGCACAATTGCTAAAGTTTTGGATTTTCTATTGTTTTTCTCAATGTTTTATAGTATATAAAGGTCGGGTATTGCACTCTTGACATCCAAATTTTCAATATCTATGTTCTTGAAACAGACATTAAAATATTACCTTTTACGAAAGTTGAAATGAAATTAATTACTTAATTGTAGATGAAATTGTATTTACTGTTGATAATAAAGTGACTGATAGATCAACAACCACTGAACAAGGAAAAAAATAAATCAAGCATTTTCTTGGTGGTTGTCCGTTTTTTGTGGTCCCCAACCATTACATAAATAGGTTCAAAATTCATAAACATTGTGTAAATGATCTAGCTAAAATATACTCAAAATTTAGATACATGTAAAGTTCTTTTGTTATATGTTTAGAATTTGCTTTTATATTAAAAGATACATTTATATAATTATTTGGATTGAAATTTACCTTCATGAGGGCTCTCTCATTTCTATAGCATATTGCCAACATACAAAACTATAAAGTTACTCACTGTAGTGGAGGTTCTCTCATCTCTATAGTATATTGCCAACATATCAAGCCAATCAAATCCTGTATCTTAGCTGTTGCTATGACAACTACAGTCATTGGGTATGGCCGGTCTTCTGGTGGGACCATTGTCAGAAAAATATCTATCTTCTTCGTTGAAACCCCTACACTTGCCTGCATTGAAGTTTGGTTTGTTTTTAAATAACACAATGCTGTATACATGTTTCTGATATTTTATGTTGAAGTTTTCTATCTAAGTACAATTTGACTGTGTTATAGCAATACCAAATACTACATTTATCTTAAAAATTATCACCAGGTACAACAGTCACCATCAAGTGTAATATGAATAATCATTCAATTAAAGCAAGCATAAAACTTCAGTTGCAATCATATAGATAAATAATGATTAATGAGAAATAAACTTGTACCTTTCCATCAAACTTGGCAAATTCTAAGAATGGGTTTTCTCCTAAACTGGCACTACTGTCTAATTGCTCAGACAACCTGGAGATAAGAGGAGTGTCTGGTTGTTCAGATGGTACGACAACTTTCTTCTCAAATAAATGACCCTTTTCTTCAGCTGAATAAATAATACAATATAATATACATTTCTATTTTTACTAGAATTAAATGTAATAGGCCGCAGAACAATTTTGAAAATAAAGAGCACTAAACAAGAGACCAGCTTTTATCATTTTAAAGTCACTGGTATTACATGTCAAGCCCTGAATCTGCTGAATTTGTGTAATTGATTTGCTTTCAAATTGGAACAGTCAGTTTAAAGCTTATGGATATCAAAAAATGAGCTACCAATAGTATAGAGCCTAGTCAGACTGCACAGACATACAGGCTAGCCTGACTACTATACTGGCGGGAAAGGCCTATCACTTTCAGTTCCAGTAGGTTATTGTTTAAACATACAAAGTATTAACCTAAATGAATAATGACTTGATGAAACTTTCTTTTCATAACATCTTGCCATTAAGATTGAAAAACTGATCTTTAACTTGACTAATAACTCAAAAATACTTATGAAATTATTGTAGCTATTAGAAATATTATTTATATCTTGAAGGCTGTTATATCAATGTGTTCGAGAAAAGGTCATTACAATGTGCTTTCATAATTTAAGTTGGTGATATTACCATTATATTTCATGTTGTTATCTTTCCATGAAATATTCTTTACTTTACTCTGGTTCCTTTTTTCTTTCTTCATTCTTTCTAATCTCTGTGCTGTATTAGACCTTCGTCTATGAGCTCCTATAACATATTACAAAAGTTGTACTGGAGCAATCCTAGTTAATATACATGTATATCAATATAGAAAATAGGACTGTTTACAATGTAGACTAACAGAAATGGCACAGTGACTTATTTTTAACAGCATTTTAATGCTCAAACCTAATGTTCCTTGCATAATTCAAAAATACGTTTATATGTGTGCAGTGCTCTTACAGTACTGAAGCAATGTTAAACAGCAATAACAGATTATTAAACGATGGATTCTATGATAAAAAGATTTTACCATAATCCATGTCAGGTAGAATATCATATGAATGGGAGAGTTCATTATCTGAGGATTCCAATCCACTATCACTGGCAAATCCACCCCTACAAATATACATTGTAAAAATTAGATAAATGTTTTACAGTGCATAATCAAAATGAGCCGCGTCACGACAAAACCAACATAGTGTGTTTGCGACCAGCATGGATCCAGACCAGCTTGGGCATCCGCACAGTCTGATCAGGATCCACGCTGTTCGCTTACCAACTCTGTTACAAGTAGAGAAACTGATAGCGAACAGTATGGATCCTGATCAGACTGCGCAGATGCGCAGGCTGGTCTGGATCCATGCTGGTCGCAAACGCACTATGTTGGTTTTGTCATGACACGGCTCAAATATATTGAACCAATTATAATACTAGGTATGTTATTATTATATTGGAAAAAATATTTAAGATAAAAAAAACTTTACAATAATGAAATTTTTCTAACTTTTAAGAATTCTTCAGCTGTAACTTCCTAGAGTTACAAAAGTGCCATGATGGCCCTATATCGCTCACCTGAGTAGGACTTCTTTCAACAAAGTTGTACTGGTAACAGTCTGTTAAAGTATGCAAGACTAGGGGTCCCTACTAACTGGTATATGATATAAACCACAAACTGATAATATTATTCATAGGTTTGATTAATATATGTTTCTGTATTCAACTTTCTGTATTGGAAAACTTTTTGAACACAAAAATTACTTTACATGTCATTTTGAGTAAATTGTTATTCTTACCTTATGACATTCAAACTTAACCTAAAAATTAATCAAAATAACCTTTCTCACAAATTTCCAGTGTTAACAAATTTTACTAGTACAGGGCTCTGTGACCTAGTTTTTGACCCTAGATGACCTAAATTTGAACTTGACCTCATAGAAACAACCTCAGAATGAATGTATTGTTTGTTTAACATAAATCTGATCTAGCTGCACCTACAGATGGACAATGCAATTTAAAATACCCCTCATACAATTGTAAGTGGTATTATAAATACATTACCTATGCTCTTGATCATCTACATCAATAATCATTTCACACATTCCAGTATCATCACTTGTAATGAAAGAGTTCCTGATGTGAGATATCAGAAACTCCTTATTGTCCATCATCGCCATAGTGACTGTTATATTTTAGATCCTGAAAAGTACAATTACATACATGTACTAGATGTAATATAACTTTTTCAACGAATTAATCATCAATCGGCTGATTTTATGTTATGCATAAATTTGCTCTTATTTGAATTTGGAAAAGTCCATTCAAAGTTTCAGGATTTCAATACTAAAATGTAACAAGAGCTGTCAGATGAGACAGTATGCTTCACTTATTAAATACGGGATGCAGTAAATGTATTCCAATAGAAGTATATATAATTTAAGTAATCCCTGTGGTGGATGAATTTTGATCTCATAAAGCCCAAACATGTGCTCTGCATATTGTCTTATTATAGAAATATTTCTGAAAGGTCAAGCAAAACGTCAAAAGATACAGACCAGACATGAAACCTGCTAAGCAAACAGATGTACACAGCTGTTCTGTAGAAATGTTGAAGGATTTGGCACATATACATTGTATATTACACAACAATATTTGTCAAATATGACATAAAGCAAAAAAAATATTTTAACATAAGAATATTCAGGGCAACATAATTGTGGATAAACAAGATTAAGGTGAATATGTATTCAGACAGTTTTTTTTTTGTAATAACTTAAACCATTTAATCACTGTATGCTTTTTTTTGTGCAGGTGTAAAACCAGGTACGTATATTAACGGTATCCGCAACTCTATACAGTAAATCAATAACGGTAAATTATGCTGTCGTGGCAGATAACCATCCAGACTGCCGATCGTTATTGATTTTTATTGACGATTACATATCATTAAGCGGTGTGATATTTGACCTTGGTTATTTAAATTACCGTCAACATGTTGTTTTCTGTTCAATTTTTTAAAAGTAACATATTCTAGAAAGTTGAAAGATAGATTTTTTCAAATATATATTTTATAAATCAGTGCGTTTAGTATGAAGAAAATTACGACGAGTTAAACACAGAGTTTTTTTTTTTTTTGTCTCCCGATTATGTGAAAACTTCATTAAAAATAATGATGCCCTCTTCGAGCAAATATAAGATTTTTTCGTCATTTATGGTCCGAATTTCGCAAAATACCTATCAAAAGAAAGCTGAGAATTTGGTCTTTTTAACTGTGTAATTATCATTTACAAAGCTAAATTATTTCTGGAATTTAACGAGTAAAAAACGCAATTTACTACCAGCCAAATCGCGACTGCACACGAAAGAAATTTTATACACATGTAGAAACAAGTTATTATTGTTTCCTCATTTTTGGCCGAAATTTGTGAAAAAATATTTATAAAAAGCTTATAAACTGTAGTTTTAAATTTTTTATTTTTCAATTTCTATTGCGTATCTTAAATAAATGCGGATAAGATATCGTGAAGAATCACATGGCCAAAATCATCTTGCATATTTCGAACGCAACTTTTACCATATATTTAACTTATTAAGCCCTTTATATTTTTTATTTGAACATTGTTTTAAAGAATGAAGTTATCTATCTATCTATTTTTAAAATTGAATAAAAGTATGACAGTGTTCGAAATTAGCAGTAGTCCTATAGCCCCTGACTACTAAATTTCTCCTCGGGCTACCAACTTTTCACAGTAACAAGCTGTATTTTCAGAGACAATTTAAACAACTGTTTTGACAAATGAATTGTGCTAGTGAAATGTCTTTTGGGCTAGTGAATATTCCAAATTGGTAGTCCGACCAGCCTAGTGGATTCAAATCCTAATTTCTTACACTGGTATGATTGTATAATTTTCAAACTGCACCAGGAAAGAGCTCTTATAAAAATGTTCGTTTTCTGAAAAACGGCCTAAACATTTTTTGTTATGAAAGTATTGTGAAAAATAAGTACATTGTACCGTCATAATTGATGTTTGCTGCAGATTCAGTAATTGATTTAATCACGGTTATTAATGTGCATCTATTTAATTGTTCAATTGTGATAGTTTTCACACTTTTTCAATCAGTCGGTCCTGTTTGAAACTGCTTTTAAGTGGGTAAGGCTAGATTGTAATTACTATATCCAGTTGTTTTTATTTAAAACACATTCTCTGTGTTGCTTTTTATACAATTATATTGAGTAAACTGTTTCACTACTACATATGTTAGTATCTTTTCATGTTCTTTTGAATGAACGTACATGTTTTCGAGAGAAGACTTATAGACATAGAGGTATTGGAAATGGTAGTATCAGGTACCTGGTAGTAAAAAAAGCAATAAAAATGAAAGCACATAAGTTTTGCCTTTTATTTTATAACCTGATTTAAATAAAACTTCAATAGCATCGCACTGGCTATAAAATGACTGTTTATAGTGTTTTCATTTAGTGTCACTTTATTCCCGAAATTTATTTGACACTTCTGGGACTCTCCTGGCACAAGCTGCAAATCTTTGAACTTTTGGGCTGTATCAGCATTCAGTGAAATTGTCGTGCTGATCTACCACTTGAAACCCTTGAAGCACATTTGTTACGATCTGAAATAGATGAAATGACATTTAATATAAATATTTTGTTTTATCAACAGAATAACCATGTACTAATGTTAATATACGTACCTAGAATAACTAACAAAAAAGAAGTTGGATATAACTTCTGAGTAAATGAAACAAGAGGGCCATGATGGCCCTGAGGTCGCTCACCTGTATATAGGCCCCCCAACCCCCACCCCCAACGTTGCAGGGCCAATTTAACCCAAGGGCTTTTATTTGCACAAACTTGGTAGACACCCATAAGAAGATGTTTCATGCTAAACATCTAAGCTCTACCTCATTGGGCTTTTTAAAAGAAGATTTTTTTAAAGTTTTTACTATATGCATATAGTTAAAAACAATGACACCCCTGGTGCCGGGCCAGTTTTGACCCCAGGGCTTTTATTTGAACAAACTTTGTAGACACTTACTAGAAGATGTTTCATGCTTAATATCTAAACTCTAGCTATTTGGGTTTTTTCAAAGAAGATTTGAAGTTTTTGCTATACACATATAAAGAAAATCAATGACCCCCGGGGCGGGGCCAATTTTGACCCCAGGTCTTTTATTTGAACAAACTTTGTAGACACTCACTAAAAGATGTTTCATGCTTAATATCTTAACTCTAGCTATTTGGTTTTTTTCAAAGAAGATTTTTTAAGTTTTTGCTATACACATATAAGGAAAATCAATGACCCCCGGGGCGGTGCCAATTTTGACCCCAGGGCTTTTATTTGAACAAACTTGGTAGACACCTATTAGAACATGTTTGATGCTAAATATCTTAGCCATAGCTCTTTGAGTTCTTTAAAAGAAGATTTTTTAATTATTACTATATGCATATAGTGAAAATCAATGACCCCCGGGGCGGGGCCAATTTTGACCCCAGAGCTTTTATTTGAACAAACTTGGTAGACACTTATTAGAACATGTTTCATGCTAAATATCTTAGTTCTAACTCTTTTGGTTCTTTAAAAGAAGATTTTTTAAGTTTTTACTATATGCATATAGGGAAAATCAATGACCTCCTGGGGCGGGGCCAATTTTGACCCCAGGGCTTTTATTTGAACAAACTTGGTAGACACTCACTAGAAGATGTTTCATGCCAAATATCTAAGCTCTAGCTCTTATGGTTTTTTAAAAGAAGATATTTAAAGTTTTTTCTTTCGGTTGCCACTGCATGGAATTAAATTCTTTGAACAATTTTTAAAGGTGACCACCAAAGGAACCTTTCTGTGAAGTTTGGATGAAATTGGCTTAGTGGTTTATGAGGAGATGTCATTTAAAGTAAAAGTTTACGGACGGACGGACGACGGACGGACGCCGGACGGACGCCGGACGAAAAGCGATCACAAAAGCTCAACCTGTCACTTTGTGACAGGTGAGCTAAAAACAAGAGCACCGCTAGGCGGAGCATTATGCCCGAAAGTGTTTTTTTTTTTAGTAAGGATGAAGCATTTGAAAGACATGGGAATTCGTTTTTCATCCTATAAAATTTTACAGCTGTAGGTTGATTAATACTTAAGTTATTAATAATGACCTTAACCTTTGACCTTGTGACCCCAAAATCTATAGGGGTCTCCTACCTTATATGGACAATCATCCTAAGAAGTTTGAACACTGTGGGCCAGATGGAACTTAAGTTATGCTCCGGAAACTGTTTCCAGTATCAAGGTAATAGTGACCTTGACCTTTGACCTTGTGACCCCAAAATCGATAGGGGTCTTCTACCCAATATGGACAATCATCCTATGAAGTTTGAACATTGTGGGTCAATTGGAACTTAAGTTATGCTCCAGACACTGTTTTCAGTATCAAGGTAATAGTGACCTTGACCTTTGACCTTGTGACCCCAAAATCAATAGGGGTCTTCTACCCAATATGGACAGTCATCCTATGAAGTTTGAATATTGTGGGTCGAATGGAACTTAAGTTATGCTCCGGAAACTGTTTTCAGTTTTAAGGTCATAGTGACCTTGACCTTTGATCTTTTGACCCCAAATCAATAGGGGTCTTCTACCCAATATGGACAATCATCCTATGAAGTTTGAACATTGTGGGTCAATTGGAACTTAAGTTATGCTCCGGAAACTGTTTTCAGTATCAAGGTAATAGTGACCTTGACCTTTGACCTTGTGACCCCAAAATCAATAGGGGTCTTCTACCCAATATGGACAATCATCCTATGAAGTTTCAACATTGTGGGTCGAATGGAACTTAAGTTATGCTCCGGAAACTGTTTTCAGTTTTAAGGTCATAGTGACCTTGACCTTTGACCTTTTGACCCCAAAATCAATAGGGGTCTTCTACCCAATATGGACAATCATCCTATGAAGTTTGAACATTGTGGGCCAAATGGAACTTAAGTTATGCTCCGGAAACAAAATTGCTAACGGACGGACGGACAGACAGACAGACAGACAGACGGACGCCAGGGGGTATAACATAATATGCCCTTTCGGGCATATAAAAAATGGGGGAAAATTCATCCATTTTCAAAAAGACATAGCATCAAAATTACTCGGCTGAAAATTATAAATAATATCATAAACCATTTACTATGATGTAGTGACTAACTTTTCAGCTTTCATTTATATTTTAAAGGTCTTTAAATACCTCTGATGCTTCGGCTAAAATAGGTCGTGAATTTAATTTTGCACCACAAAAATTTAACATTTTCTTTCAAATTCCATGCCACAAAAACAATAGAACAGATGATAAGGGAGTGTTAAAAGTACCTTCACGACATACTTGAATTTATTTTAAACCGATTTGTGCAAGTTTAGTCAGTTTTCTTGGAGCGGTTTAAGCCTGATGTCTCTGCAGATTTTATACGTGTTCACTCGTTTCAAACAAACTTTCCGCCATTTTGTAAATCTCATTCATCCAGAGTGGAATATTTCCAACCCGATTTACGCCAATGAAAGCGTGATCTAGTAAAAATTTACATACATAACAAAGAAATAAGACTAACCTGTCATTACTTTTCACTTCCCCTCGGAGCGTGCACGTCGCTGAGAAGGCACAGGGCATCGGCAGAAGATTTACAACTTGGCTGGTAGACAACTTTAACGTAGCCTTCAACCGTGGGCGTTAACTACGGAATCCTACTTCGTCACTTCTGCGGACCAGCTGCCGATGTCCTGACTAATGCCAAGGGGAGTGGCCCTACAAAGTAGGCTGAGACGACGAGGATGGTGTACTAGGGTATGTGAGCCCCTAGTACAGATAGACAGCTTGTAAGGCAGGCCTATAGCTGGCACCAACAGCCCTTTTCAGGGCCAAACACCTTTCCTATTGTCACAGGTTACTGTACATTTAGGTTCTCATTGACCGCTGTACAGTGACCTACTTTTGGCTCAAAATTTATCTCTTTGGCTTATACTCCGTGGAAATTGCATGGAGGTAAATTATCACCATTTTGTGTTTCAAAATTAACTCTTTAAGGGCATGACTGGTGACATGTCCTGGGTCCGTACTCGACAGCGAAAGCTGCATTTTGTGCCCGAAAGGGCGGATGGACCCTCATTAAGTATTAACAACAACAAACCTGTCATTATTTTTTGAGTATTTTGTGCAGATGCCCATAAATTAGCGCTTAATTAACATATTTTTTCACGAACTGAAATTGTTGCCTTCCGCCATCGATTAATGTTTTTCGTATGCGCACGTAACTGGCACGACACCAATCACGGTCTAAAATCTAGTTGCGGATACCGTTAATATACGTACCTGGTAAAACTAAAAGAATAATTGAGCTCGCTTTGAGGCTTTGCCTTTTTCATACGGGGAAGTCAAAGACCGGGCCCGCGAAGCGGGTCCGGGCTTTGGCTTGCCCGGCTATAGACTACATGTGAATATTTAAAAGAAAATCAAATAAAAAACAATTAAAAAATATATAGAATTCTATAGGGTCAATCCGTATAAAGTCGGACAAAATTCAGTTACCCTAACTTGCCAGATTACTGTGATTAACAATATGGAGTTTAGGATCTTTTGTATTACTTCCCTTTAATTATACTATATTTAGTTTCGAATCATGCATTCACTGTCACCGTAATGTCAAAAGTACTCCGAAAATGGGAGGAAAATGTACATAGGCGTAAAACGCTATGACTCGGACAGAATAGTGAAAATTCGGACATACTTTAGTTGAAAGTCGGACATGCAATTTTGAGTAGTCAAAAGTCGGACAAATTAAGAATTTTTAAAAAAAGTGGGGAACAAAGCAGACAGTTATTGAGAAATAATTTCAGGGCACAAATACTAATCAATATGATTGTCTATATCTTCATTTTCAAGGTTGTAATTCAAAATGTTAACATTCGCAACTCTCCTAAATAGCACAATTAATAAATGACTGTGACTTTTTATAAAAAAAAGCTACTCTTATAGTACTCTGTTTTTGCTATTTAAAATGAATTAATTAAACGTTACAACCAACTTATCTCTTAGTAAAATTATATTTCAACCCTTTTTGAAGTTACATTTTAATTGCTTAAAACAAAAAACAGAACAATTTGGACATATTCATATCTTCTTTAAGATATAACAGTTATCGACGGATTATTTGATATGAGTCATGATTGGTTGACTGCAAGGAAAACAAACAAAATTTAACACAAGTTCTAATGTTCTTCATTTATCCCGGTTGTACTCTTAACTTTGGACATCTCTTTTCACTGCATTTTAATTTTTTTCTGTTTTTATTCTCTTAGCAGCTTTTTTGGTCTCTTTTTCATTTTTTCTTTTTTGGATTTCTCTCTTCTGTTTAACTATTTCCTCACTCGTCAAAATAGTATGGCTCGTTTTTTTTGCAACATTGTTTTTAGTTTCTTTTCTACTTTCGAGTTTTGGGGGCAGAAATACTTCACTTATACTATTGTCAACATCAAGAGCGGTTTCAACTGAAACCTCATTAAATGCATTATCATCTACACGATCCATTATTAGATTTTCACTTGAAATTAATTCCAGTAACACCGCAGGATCAGATAGGTCAAGTACGGGAAGAGGTACATCATCAGCACGTGATGGTTCTTCATCTCTATTCTCAAGTTGTGGTGATAACGGTACAGCAGTCATAACTTCCGATGAATCTATAGCAAAACGAAAAAAAAATACTATTATTGTTCAACACCTGGGTGAAAACAAATGGTGGACTTAATAACACAGTCGGCATAAAACTTGAAAATTATCATGTTAATGTTTAACTGTGTTTCAAAATAAAATTGTTTGCATTGTTCATTAACGCGATACGTGTTACTATAATATTGCATTATATATATTTTGTAATTTCATATTATATCGGCTATAAATTTTACGAGCACTTAACAACTATTTCTTGTTCTACTTCTAGATATTTCATCGATTGTATCGAGTAACCGCAAAATACCCGTCAAACTTAGTTATACATATTAGAAAAAGAAAACCTTATTTATAACACCAACCTTCAGCATTGTAGGTACCAACAGTGGGTGTAGATGTGGCATCAAAGCCTGCCAATGTATGTGTAACATGAGGGACATCTGTCACAGAACTTGGCATAAAGGCATCATTCGGAATAGCAAACCTATTCACAGGCCATATTCCACAGGAGGCAAACCCACTTTTTACGTTGCTCTGCGTGAAGGCATCGTCCCAAGCTTTTGTGAGAAGTGACGGAAATGAATGTTTATTTACCACATGAAGTGGGTGCTCTGATATGAACTCGGAACATTTTTCATTATATGCTTTCTTAAACGGGCCAAATACACTTCTATCCAAAGGCTGGAGGTAGTGTGTGGTGTGTGGAGGGAGCGATAACAGAATTATATTTTCTTCAATTGCTCGTTCAATAATAGCAAGTGTTTCGTGAGAAGAATGGTCATCAAACACTAGCAACTGGGGTCGTTTGGGTCCGCATTGCTTAATAAAGACTTGGTTAAACCACCTTTCACCAATTTCGTCGGTGATCCAACCTTTCTCTTGGTAACTCCACACGGTATCTTTCGGAGCATCTATTGTTTTAAACCCATGTAAAGATTTTACTGTTTTACCTTTAGTTATAATTAAAGGGGGCATTGCATCTCCTGCAGCATTAACACATGCCATTATAGTTAAATTGCTTGACTTTTGACTAGTCTTACTAACAACTGTGGTCCCGCGCTCAGCAATAACGTTTACAGGACAATGCTCAAAATTAAGACCTGTTTCATCACAGTTCCATATGTTTATGGAACTCAGATTAAGGTCTTGAATGATTTTTCCTAAGTCATTGAAGTAGTTTTCTACGACAACATGATTTAACATTCTAGCGCGCACATTTGAAAGCTTCTCGGGTTTTCTTATTGTTATTTCGCTTAACCCCTTCCCACCAATCTTTACCGGCCTTAAAGTTAGGGTATGCTGTTTGCAACTTGATACGCTTACACAAAACATTAGTTCTGGCAATAATTTGCTTTCTACTCAAACCAACGCCCAGTTTTGCTGCTGTCTTTACTGCCTCTACAACTTTGTTTTCAATGTCTGCTGGAATGGCAGGGGGTCTTCCGTGAACCAGAGGTTTATTCATATCAAAGCGACCAGATATCCGGTCCCCAATGGTGCTCCTAGGAACGTTGAATTTTGCTGAAGCCTGTCTTATAGATTGCCCTGAAGTTACAGCATTCACAGCATTTTCAAGGTCTTGTTGATTATATTGAAGGATCTTTCCACGTTTTTTTTCCATAGCTGAAAGCCAAATGATACAAGCAATTATGATGATGATGATGGTGAGTGTGGTGGTAGTTCTGACAATGATGATGTGATGATGATATAGGTGGTATTGATGATTATGATTATTATCATATTATTATCAACATTATTATTATATTTATCATTATTATTATTATTATTATGTGATGATGACGACGACGACAGCGAGTACAAGTCAAAACACGGCTTGGTAGAGTACAATATGGGTTTGATATGGATATTTTTTTACTTCAGTAATAAACAAAAAAGGCTTGATGGATAGGATTGGAACAAAAAAAATATTAAAGAACAGCTGGAAGTTCATTAGTTTGCTTCCTTTTAGGTATACAATAAAACAAAACTTTTCACTGAATTTCTATATCTATTTCATAAACCAATAAAACATCGTATAAGCAACAGACGCTCAAGAAAGTATGACGAAACAAATATGTGACATTAACATAAAGCTGTATATATCAGCAATCCAGGAATCTGACATAAATAGCATGTTCGTTTGAAATTTTCTCAATGTCCTTCACATGTTCATTCTTTGTGAAGAACCCTACATTACAACGTTGAGATGGGCCAACACGAGCCCGACAAACAGGCTCAAATTTTGGTTTTATTACAATTGGTCCTTCAACCAAACCATTTCTGCAAAAGTCAGAAATGAGTCTAGCGTCTTTACGGCGCAAATAAGCACTCAAAAGAGCATTAGGATGAGAATATATGGCGATAGCATTTTTGTCAAATTTATTGTCTGGTTCAGGCTTTCCACGGTATTGAGCGCCAACTTCTAGAGATCTACGGCCATGATGATGCATGCCAACTGCAAACAGACTTTCGATAATGACTTTCTTCATTTCCTAAGAAAATAGTTGTATTGTCTTAAAATAGTTTACAATTAAGATCTATATTTAATAAGAGTTGATGAAAACCCGATATCAATTTATATGAGCTTGTCTTAGCAAAAGTTCGCATGACTTAAAAGTTAAAACTCATAGTTCATTTAGATCTACTTGATGAATTTGTACGAATGGCTTTAATGTTTTAAGGTGGTTCTACAGACACTTGGGGTGTGGAGTTCCAAAACGCCTTTTAAATCCAAATAAATATATATTTGTCAATCCCAGGACGAATACTTATATGATATATAGATCTATATTAAAAACTTAAAAGCCGTTTTGAAAAAAATATTTCAATGTCTATAATAATACGTAATATATATAACAATATATAGATCTATATCTTATCTCATAGACGTTGAAATGTGAATTTTATTTTGATTTTGAAGGCGTTTTGAGCTCCAAAATCGCAAGTGTCTATGGGTGGTTCAATGTAGGCCAAATGTTGCAAATTTAAAGACTTATAAAATGCATATAGATCTAGATTTGTAAGTTTGTCCTGTATAAAGCCATTAAGGTTAAAATTAGATCTAGATCTATATGATTGTGTGTGAAAATAAATGTAATAAATCAAAGTTAATACTCAAATTAATAATCTTATATTCATCCAGACAATGATTGTCTTTTTAAATTAAGGAGTGTAATCTGAATAGCATTATCGAATCTAAAACCTTATATTACACTTAAGGACAGAACTTTGCACTTTCATCTGTCCGACTTTTAACTAGATGCAAAAAGAGATAGTTAAACTTCGGACAATTCAATTTTCTTTAATTTTATATTTATTTTCCAAATATTTATTTCAAAATTTCGTTTTAATATCAATTTTAATGTTAATAGTTTCGAAGTGTTCATTTAAATTTAAGCGCTGATGTAAGTAATATGAAAAACACTGAAAACGCACCAAATGATTCAAATGACCCGCCAAATGACAGAAAGTGTAGTCGTGAAAAGGATGTGTGTTACGTCACACATTAATGTGTATACGTAAACGGTGTTGGTGTAAAGATTATGCAACTGTGTAATTTAATGATTTAAAGGTCTTTGAATCACTAAATGTAAGCCTCTTGAGTCGGTTATGATTGAATTAGTGTTATAAAACGTGGTTTTCTGACATCTGTCCGACTTTATACGTCGTCCGACTTTATACGGATTGACCCTACCTATCAATGAAATTTTCAGTGTCAGTTCTAGTCCGGCGCCGCCATTTACAATGTATGTCAATGATAATAGGCGGGGTATTCCGATAACGGAACAAATCTCAACTTTTCGGATTAGTAATAATCGTCGAGTGTTCCGAGTAAAAACGGAAGCGGTGTATGTAATATCGAATGACAGCTTTAAAACGGAAAGAATGAAAGGATTTTTTTAACGACTTCCCCGTTCATAGGCTTTGCCTAATTTCATATTATTATTTCAATGGTTTGTTGGATAACAATAGTGCATGAGTTGAGATCTATGGAAAAGGAATTAGTTTTTAAAGGGGTGCACTCAATAAGGATGAAGTCATAAGCTTAAGCTCGATCCATCCATTCCTTTGACTAAGTGTCTGTACATCCGAATACTACTCTACTTCTCATGACAACACACTTTTTATCTTCCGGAACTCAAGCGTTCTTATAATGCAAAGTTCAATTTTATTTCATGAATTTAGCTACAAAGTTAAATAGAACTCCATATTAAGATGATTTTTTACAAACAAAATGCAGGTTAAAAATTAAAGTGATTTTTTACATTTCCTGGTACTCTCCTCTATTAGAAACAACAAAAACTAAAAACGGTGCAAGTTAGAAAGATTCCATAGCAGAAAATCCTATCATGTGTTTTGATTATGAAGTACTTAACCTCAATTAAAACGATTAAATCATAAGGCAGACGTTATTTTGAGAATCCATAGACTTAGAATTTTGGTAAAAACACTGACACAAACTTTGCCACTGATATTTTTATTTCCAAATAAATAAGTATCAGAATATGACAAGTTGCCCTATTACAACTGTACAATGTACATGTTTCAGTTAATTTGATCTTAAAAATGTTTATATTTCATGTCATTGGTTTATTTTTTATTTTTAGGACATCCTTATCTGCTTATGATTCATAATGAATTTGTTGCCAAAAAACTACAATGAGTTTGTGAAAGCAGAATACTGGGAAGAATTCTTTAAAAAGAGAGGAGCAAAAGCTTTTGAATGGTAAGTTAAAATTTGGTCAATCTTGGGATAAGGGAGACCGTATTTCAACACATTTAACACAAGTTAGACCATCAATCATGTTGATGTAATAGATATAGGTGGCGCGATAGCTCACTTGGTTAAACTACTGATTATAAATCACTCCTTAGGTCCCGGGTTCAATCCTGGGTTACACCCTTGGGATTTTTCAGAGACACTTTCAGAGGTGTACTGGTAAGAAATCCAGGTAATCCTCACATGTATCAGTGCTATACACTGGGCATGTAAAAGAACCAAGGGGTCTATTCAATAAGAGCTAAGGACTGGTTTCCAGATTCCCTTGTATCTCATAGAGCCAGTACAAGTCAACCCGGCCCCAAGTCAACCCGGCCCCAAGTCAGCCCGTCCCCAAATTGGTCAACCCGGCCCCAAACCAATGTTATTTCTGGTCAACCTGGCCCCATTTTTTTATTATTTATTTTGCTTTAAAATATAAACACTTATATTTTACAAAGTAATTATTTTTTATTATTTTTTCTTGATACGATGTTTTATAATAATAAAATGATTTTACATGCAAAATATCGTTAAATTTTGTCCATAAATAAAAAAGTTATAAGTTATATTCGAATTACGTTCTATAAAAGTCATATCCGTAGCGAACAGAAGATACCGAATATGACTTATATTTTATAAATTGATAATTTTTTTTATTAAGTTTTCTTGATTAATAATAAAATGATTTTATATGCAATATATCGTTAAATTTGGTTTATAAATAAAAAAATAAGTAATGTAGGTGAGGAACACACGTACAACACCAGGTCAAGTTTTAAAAGTTTTTATTGGCTACTAGTTTCGAGTAATACAATACTCTTCATCAGGCTTAAATAAAAAAGTTATAAGTTATATTTGTTTTTAGTCCCCTACCGGTTTAACCGGAGGGGACTTTAGGTTTACCCTCCGTCCGTCTGTCTGTCTGTCCGTCTGTCTGTCCGTCTGTCTGTCTGTCTGTCAGTCTGTCAGTCCGTCAGTCCGTCCGTCCACAAAACTGGATCCCGCGATAACGCAAAAAGTACTGAAAATATTTTTATGAAACTTGATATATGGATAGATGGCAGTATGGAGATTATGCACGTCTTTTTTTTTTCTTCCTATGTTGAAAATTCTGGTTGCTATGGCAACAAATAGTCTGAAAATATGGCAAATTTAACACATAAACTGGATCCAGTGATAACTCAAAAAGTACTGAAAATATTTTTATGAAACTTGAAATATGGGTAGATGGCAGTCTGGAGATTATGCACATCTTTTTCTTTTCTTCCTATGTTGAAAATTCTGGTTGCTATGGCAACAAATAGCCTGAATTTCAAGATTTCTGATTTAAATTTTTCAGCTTTTTCACTATATGTTCTTTATTTCTTAAGGTGTTTACTTCAAACTTTAAATATAAGTTTCTGGTCATCAACCACATCATATGTGACAAGGTTTATAACTCTAGCACAAAAAATATCAGTATTACCTCCCTTGAACTTAGATTTTTTAGGGGAAAAAATGTTGTCTTTTTAGCTCGACTTTTCTATGAAAAGGGGAGCTATCCTACTCGCCCCGGCGTCGGCGTCGGCGTTGGCGTCACACCTTGGTTAAGTTTTTCGTACCACCCCACTTTATTTCAGAAGTATTACAAGTATGGCTTTGAAACTTACCATACTTGTTCACCATCATAACCTCCATCTACAGACAAGAGTACATAACTCTGTCAAGGTTTTTGACAGAATTATGGCCCTTTTTTGACTTAGAAAGTGTATTGAGCTTGGTTAAGTTTTTTGTACCACCTCACTTTATTTCAAAACCATTGGAGGTATTGCTTTGAAACTGACCATACTTGTTTACCATCACGACTTCATCAACAGACAAGAGGACATAACTCTGTCAAGGTTTTTGACAGAATTATGCCCCTTTTTGACTTAGAAAATACATTGAATATGGGTAAAATCCACTTATTGCCTTAACCCTTTGAGATATTGCTTTGAAACTTTTAATGCTATTTCACATCATTACCCCCATCTGTACGCAAGAGAAGGTAACTCTGTCAAGGATTTGTTTTAAAAATTAAGGCCTTTTATCGACTTAGAATCTTGGTTAAGTTTTTAGTACCAGTCCACTTTTTGACTGAACTGTTTGAGATATTAATTTGAAAGTTGGAATACTTGTTTACAATCATGATTCCCAAACATGTCCAGGAGAAGGTAATTCTGTCAAAGATTTTATTTGAATTATGGCCCTTAACTGTCAATGTTTTGTATTATAGGCAAGCACTAAAAAAACTTAAAAAATCTAAAAAAATTCATTCCTATCCACTTGTTCACTTTACCATAAATTATGTCATATAAACATTGCTGTAATATTCAAGGGTATCAAACAACTAGTTATTTTTCTCTTTTTGTACTTGAAATTAAAATCAGTAGTATAATACTATTAAATTTATTTAAGGCTCAACTCAGTTTTTTTTTCTTTCTTACCAGCCCTCTTTTGACTTAAACATTTCAAACTTTGCTGCAGTGTTCAAGGGTATCACACAATTCAGTAAAATAATTCTTCACTAAATATCTTAATGCTCATGGCCATTGTTCACTTTAAAAATACAGAGATTCTTGTATTGCCTTTTACTGCAAAAACTTTTTTTATTGGCAAGCAATAAAAAAGTCGAGCGCGCTGTCTTACGGACAGCTCTTGTTTAAATAACTTCTTTATTTCCTAATGTATCTACTTCAAACTTCATATATATGTTTCTTATTATCACTCGACATTTTTGAGAAGGTTAAATACTCTAGCAAGACTATTTCCAGAATTATGTCCCCCTTTAACTTAGATTTTTTTAAATATTAACAAATAGTCTGAAAATATGGCAAATTTAACACATAAACTGGATCCAGTGATAACTCAAAAAGTACTGAAAATATTTTTATGAAACTTGAAATATGGGTAGATGGCAGTCTGGAGATTATGCACATCTTTTTCTTTTCTTCCTATGTTGAAAATTCTGGTTGCTATGGCAACAAATAGCCTGAATTTCAAGATTTCTGATTTAAATTTTTCAGCTTTTTCACTATATGTTCTTTATTTCTTAAGGTGTTTACTTCAAACTTTAAATATAAGTTTCTGGTCATCAACCACATCATATGTGACAAGGTTTATAACTCTAGCACAAAAAATATCAGTATTACCTCCTTTGAACTTAGATTTTTTAGGGGAAAAATGTTGTCTTTTTTAAATAACTTCTTTATTTCCTAATGTATCTACTTCAAACTTCATATATATGTTTCTTATTATCACTCGACATTTTTGAGAAGGTTAAATACTCTAGCAAGACTATTTCCAGAATTATGTCCCCCTTGAACTTAGATTTTTTCGAGAAACTGGTATTTTCACTCCAACTTCTTCATTCCTTATAGGATTTACTTTAAAATCCCACATCGTAATAATATGACAAGGTTGTATAAACATAATTTCCTTACTAAGCATGGAAACTTAACACATTACTGTGATATAGACAAACTTATTTTATTATGTTTTGTGGTTGATATTTTCAAATACAGACTTCATCCTCAAATTCATTATAAATGGCAATACACAGGAGTGTATGACAATTAAAGAACTTTTTGAGGGACCGGTAGGGGACTACTGTATTGCCCGCAATACTATCAAATGCTTGTTTTTATATATATATATAAAATCATATCTGTGAAGAACAGAAGATATCAAATATCATTATATGACTTATATTTTATAAAGTAAGTGGGTTTTTTTGTCTGGATTACAGTGAAATAACATGCAAATAATCGTTAAATTTGGTACAATTAATAATAAATCATTTTTATTCCATCATACAACAAGATGACTTAAATAATTTTCTTTGAAAATATATATTTTGGGGCCGGAATGACCGATTTTTGGGCCGCATTGACCAATTTTGGGGCCGCATTGACCAAATAAAAATACTGTGGGGCTGGATTGACCAATTTTGGGGCCAGGTTGACCAATTTTGAGGCCGGGTTGACTTGGGGCCGGGTTAACTTGGGGCCGGGTTGACTGTAATTCCATAGAGCTCTGTCTCTTTAATGTATACAATGTATACCTGCTTAGAGTGATCGTAAATGATTTTAAAGCAGTATGATGAAAAAGTAGAAGTATATTTTATAAAGATACTTTGTAACAAGGTATAGGCTTAATGGACCTTATACAATTATAAGCATCTTAAAAAGCATGAAATAGATAGAAAATTTATTTGTTTTGTATATAAGATCAAATTAATTTTCACACATGAACACCAGCTCAAATTGGGAGAGTTAGACATGTGTAATTTTATTTACATTTTCGTGTCATTCAGGAACAAAATTGGTAACCCTCCTAGTCCAAGCATATTTATAGTCCAAGCCTTGTTCATCCATTTGTATGAACAAAGAATGCACCTGGTGACATTAAAGGAGGAATGTCTATGTTTTTACTGTACAGTACAAAGTATACTTGTGGGATAAAAAGTTGCTTATTGA